GTGTGTGTTGCATCAACAGTTGCAGAACAGTAGGAATTGGGAGCGCACGGCAACCAATAAGTGAACAATAACTCTCTAGCTTTAGCATAATAAAGAAGCCATTATAAAATATTTAGGTTTAGCATAATAAACAAGTAAAACATCTAACTTAGAACGCATTACTTGATTCTTTATTATGCTATCGCTGTCTAAATACATAAATAAATACAAGCTTTAGCATAAAAGCAAGTATAAAATCTCTAGCTTTAGCATAATGAAGAAGCAAAAATGAAGTATTGACAAACTCACTGGGATTATGCTGCTGAAGAAAAGGACAGGGTCTGGGATCGTGTCACAGGCAGAAGACAGGTTGTATTGTTGATGGTAAAGAAGACACAACGTTTTTCAGAATGCATGTGAATTTAGAGCAGAATCCAGGTCCTCCTCCTCATGACGTTGTTCTGCTGCTAGAGGAAAATCACCAACTTAACTACAGTTTCTACAAAAGTTTGATACAAGATCCATACCGCTATACCCAACAAAAATCCTGAAGGTTCCCAGCTCAAACCCCCAAAATGATTCTTGCGATTTTATTGTGAAGAAAACCGGACAAAATGTATTCAACCGTGTAAGAGTTTTCACCTTGGCTGGCTGAAAAGTTTGATTAGGTTAGTAGTGAAGAACTCATTGTGTCCATGTGGATGTGTTGTGGTGGAGGCGGGAAGCACACAGTTCCCAGCTGGGTCTTGCCCCGTAGCTGACCTTGCTGTCTCCGCAGTAATTAGACTGCAACTGCCTCCTGAACTCCCTCTGCCCCCAGTGTGTGTGTGTGTGTGTGTGAGTGTGTGAGTGTGTACTCCTACAATGAGTGTGAGAAGCAGGGCCCATACCCACCCATACATTCAGAGGACAGATAGAGTATCACAGGACCTCACTATGTGTATTGTAAGTCTAAACCGCAGTCTGGGTATAGAGTAACGGCTAAGAACTAGTTTCTGATGAGCACATGTGAGTGTTTGGTGTTTTATTTATATTTAATGGTAACAAAAAATTACGAGAAAGCTCTACTGCATCTTTGGAGTTCAATATTAAAGGTGAAACTCTGTGAAATTAGCACAAAAGTTTATTTGACTCTGAAATAGACTCTTTACATTCAAAGGGACTCATACAGATTATGGCTGCACAGTTATTCCAATGTGGTTTTACTGCAAATGAAAATAAATTCTTGTATCGCAGTCCATTTGAGATAATTCCATCCATCCATCCATCCATCCATTTTCTTCCCCTAAATCCATTTCTGGGTCGAGGGGGTGGCCAGAGATGCCACCCAGTACACAGAGCACCAGCCCCTCACTGATCCTCCTACAGGTGGTGAGTCCACAGGAGCTGAGATCTTTCAGTGGTAGATTCAGGCAAAGTGGGGATTTAGATATCATTTGAGATAATTATTGTGAGTTTTTTCAAGCCATGAGCCATAATGATCAATTCCCGTTCTTTGTAATGAGTTGTCTCAATCTGTTTCACATTGTTAGTTAATGGACTTTTGAATGATATGAAGTTTTCAAGTTTCACCTGTATCTCTGATTCACTGTTACCTGTTGCCTCTCAGAAGGTCCTGGTCAAGTGGAGTGGAGTTTGCTTGTTCTCCCTGTGCATATTGTAGGTTTCGTCCAGGTGCTCCGTATTTCCCTACCATTAAAAACATATACTTGCTTCTTTATCATGTAAGTAAGTTCTTTATCAAGTAAGACACTGTATACTTCTTATTACGCTATTCTTAATTCTTGCTTCTTTATGCTAAAGTTGGAGATTTTAGTTTTGGTTCCTCGTTACGCTATTTAAAAAAAAATTTACCAACTTTTGGATGAATAAATGATCTCTTAATCTTAATCTCTTATCCATAAACTATTTCTGGAGCATTGGCAGTTCATTACTGTCCCATTGAAAATAAATAAATCACACATAGCCACAGTTGCTAGTTCTGTTTCCACGAATGACATTTTCCACTTTATCTCCCGAAGCACCAGGTCCCATAGTCAATCAAAAATGTTTTCTCACTGTCCTTATTTGGATTGCAATTTGGCCTGAGCTTGTTTGTTCTTGGGACCTTGTGTGTTATGCCCTAATGAATTAAATAACATTAGCAGGAGTGCACAGTTTGAGGGCCCGGTTTTTAAAATGAGAGCTGTCAGCTTTGTTTGTAAGGCTCAAATCCCATTAAAGGGCTGAGTTATTTATCAGGAGCTGTCTCCCCCTGGCTGATTACTCAAATGGCTTTGCAAATGAGGCAAACAAAAAAGCCAATCAAACGCAAATCAAACAAGAGTCCTTCACAGAGGGAGAGCAGCCCGAAGCCCCCAGGTTCTGAATGATAGACAACACTTTCTACCAAGTTGGATGTGCCAAGGCTGTAGGATTACTATGTTGCCTTTTTTACCCTTTAAATGCATTGTTCTGTATGTAAGAGTCTTAGTTCTGGCATAGTAGCATGATTTTGATGATTATTTGTAGAAACCTTAGTCTCACACATGTTTATGCAGTATGGAACCACGTCAATGCTGCTTTACTTACTTTCATCAAGTTGGAGATTATAGACTTCTTGACTTATGGTGTTAAAGATAGAGATTTTAAACTGCTCAAACTATGCTAGAGTTAGAGATTGTGGTTTTTTTTAGCATAGAGATCTTATTAATTTAACCCGTGCTGTGTGCCCCTGTAATACTAAATGTCCAATAGTAGCGAGGCAAGTTTATGTGCTTGTGCATGAGCTAGTGAAACAACAACACTTTTTAAAATGGCGTAAATAGATTTTTTAAGAAGATAGCAATTCAGACCTGACCATTTTATTTAACACTATGAAACTTCTAGAACTCCCAGAGCGGCCATTTAAACTTTTTTTTTTAACTTGAACTCACTTTTACTAAGAGCTAAGTATATATGGTGGCGTACGCAGGTGGACAAACGCAAGACAAAATATCACAGTCACAAGCACTCCGATTGTGTATCCATATTAGATTAGACGGCACGGTGGCTGAGTGGATAGCACTCTTGCCTCTGAGCAAGAAGGTTCTGGGTTCGAATCCTGGTCGGAACAGGGCCTTTCTGAGTGGAAGTTTGCATGTTCTCCCCATGTCTGCGTAGGTTTCCTCTGAGTACTCCGGTTTCCCTTGCCACTAAAACATGTGCAATAGTTCAGGGTGCATGAGTGTGTATTTGTGAGTGCGAATGTGGGACAACGGATGCAAATTAGCCAATGGCTACGATCTGGAGTGATGTGTTCATTAACAGGTATTGTTCCAACCAGATAAACAATAAATAAAATTGTCTCTTGATGAGACACGTCTGAAAACACTGAAAAACTGAAAAAACCTGAAAGAAACTGAGAATAAACTTCCTGGTGGCTTTGGTGCGCAATGATCCCGTGTCTGTGACTCTGAGGTAAATTTTTCCACATGTCGTAGATTAACCGTTTGTTGAAATTAGGTGTTGCTATAGTAACCAATGGTAACTGATGCTCTCGTATCAAAACTAAAAATAATAATTGTATAGAAATAAATTACATATAGAAACAGAAAAATTCACACAAGTTGTTACACTTCCAAAACTAAAAATTGACTGCTCTGTGAGTCCTCTAGCGTTTCAATCCTTTTTGGCAGAGTTCAGTTGTGACGGGATCGGGGTCAGACTGACATCACGCTCCAGTGGCTAACACAGGCCTGCTCTCCTTTTGTGTAGACGACACATGTCTGACTGTCACATACACGAGATCACTTTCCAGCAGACTTTCGCTCAAATATTAACCTTGGTCGTGGGCTCGGGGCCAAATCCCACACTGGCGTCTCTGCTGCTCTTCGCACACACTGTCTTTTCATCACAGACGGCAGGGCTCATCTGCCCAACAGGCCGTGTAATCTGCAGGGGAATTTGTGTTGGAGAGATGAGGAAAGCTCGCTCGCCCCCTGATTTCATTACCTTTCTCTGACCCCGAAGACTGGCAGATCTAATTGCCCAATCGCTATATTCCCCCTCCCCCCCCCACCTCAGTGCAACCCCTGAGTCCCCTTTACTCCAATGACAAGGCTTCGTGTAGATTCTCTAGATCAAGAAACGATTCATTCATGCAGCAACAACGCAATCCATTTATCGTGCTCAAATAATCAATTTGCTGATGGACTCCCAAAGCACGGATTGCATCGATCAAACGTGTTTTCTTCAAACTTTATGTACACATTTTGACGACAGCAACAATATAAAATGAACAGAAATGCAAAGTTTGAAAAGGGGTTGGATGAAGCAGATGCGTAGTTGGTTCTGACCTCTCTCACTTATTATTATGAGTCTATTCACAGACATAACACACACGCACATACACATACACACACACAAACAAACATACACAACACACAGAGACAACACACACTCACAAACACACAAACAGAGACAACACATGGGCTCAAAGACTCTCTGACCCTACACCTCTCCCCCATAACTCGCACTCTTCCACGTAATTTATCAGTGTCTGTTAAAATTCTGTTTGAAATTCTAATCAATTGTTTAAACTTCTTGCACTGTTGACTTGTTGGCCTTCAAAAGATGGACAAACGCAAGACATAATAGTCAAGAAATATGTCGTTTGGACTAACTAACACCTGAGGATTGGTGGCTTTTCTTGTGAAGCAAATTGTCGTATAAAATGCTTTCTCTGTCTTCATTCTGTCTGAAAATAACCGTAAAACTGAGAAAAAAACGTTCTTGTTACCAGGGTGGAAAAAGATTGAACGTTGTCATTTTTGATAAACTGTTTTCTAAGTCGTTTAAAATCTGTTTGTTGTTTTAATCTATACTTTTTTTTTTTCAAAAATGTAAACATCATAGTATAATATAAAATACTGTACTACATTTTTCATGAACATAGGATAAAGCCCAGTCTTCAAAATGTCAAACTGTTGATCTTATGTTTTGTGTGTGTGTGTGTGTGTGTGTTTGTGTTTCTAATCTTTTTATTTTTTTTGTGTTCCTAGATAATCTTATGGGGTAGAACTGAGAAGTGCCTCAAAGAAACATCAGAGGAAATCTCCCTGATGGGAACAGAGTGCTACTATTTCATCTGTGACGTGGCGAATCGAGAGGAGGTGTACAGGCAGGCCAAAGTGGTCCGAGAAAAGGTATACGCCGTCACCATTCATAAACTTTCAAAATCCTCTGACACTTACAACCACTAATTCATGCACTAGCAGCCATTTTTGTTAAATTTATGTAGTATGAGTTAGAACTAAAATTCACATAGATAATGGTGTTGTATCATTGCAAAGTCTGACTAAGATATTGACTTAAAGTTGGGCTACCTAACTTTCAAACCATACAACAGATCTCAAAACAGATCAACAGAACAGAGAACATATATTTTTGGTCTTGTCCAAATTTGTTTTCAGCTTTTTTCAGCTAGAAAAGTAATACAAAGAAAGGAGCACAATTGCTTGTAGAAAACAAAGACAAAATTAAAAAGTTGTGGTTTTATTTGTTCAAAAGATTTTTACGTTTATGCGACTTTCTCGGTTGCGACAAAGAACTTGTTTTATTTATGAAAAAGAAAAAGTTTGGTACCCCAACTTTTTAACAGATACTACTGTATATATACAATAGATAAAAGGATGGGTGAGTCCTTAGTTGCATGACAAAAAGAGAATGTCTGGTTCTCTGCTGAACACACAAAACACTGTTGGGGTAAATTTATAGAAGGTTTTGATTAGCATTAGCTTTTCCCAAGCGTAGAACTAAACTGCAAACAATGCATGTGCCTATTTATATTTCCCCTCCAGTATTTATGTCCTTGGGATGTCTTATTGTCTGGTGTGTACTCTTCCATCTGCTAAAAATATACGTTTAAACTGTTTCAATACGGGAAGCATGGTTATCCTGAAAAGTATTAAGCTAGCACTTTAAAGTAATGATCCCAACAAGATTCTTTTTGATGCTACAATCATTATTTGTCTTTCTGTGTGAACTTTAGGTTGGCGACGTGACAATCCTGGTGAATAATGCAGCAGTGGTCCACGGTAAAAGCCTGATGGACTGTGATGACGATGCTCTTCTCAAATCTCAACACATCAACACTTTGGGACAGTTCTGGGTAAGAATATACATTTATGGACGTTTATTAATATTTATGGACGTTGGTCTTCTGCCCCTTATTGTGTTTGCAATATTTGATTCTCTGATCTGTGTTGGCGAATTCGACGGGTTCGTGAAGTCCTCTGAGATAACTACTGTTGTGATTTAGGGCTATACAAAAATGTGTTTAATTGGATTGAATATATTGGAATCTTATATAAGGGGCTGGTCCATCGTGAATTGGGTGCAGCTCTGATTGCCACCCCCCTACCCAGACATGGATTAAGGGGAAGAAAAGGGATGGATGGATTCCTATACCGTTTACCATCAATGTATCACAATATATATATATAAACGTAATGAATACTGTACTTCATTTCAATATGAATTTATATTTCATCTGTGAGCTAGTACACTGCAAAAAATGATGAAGAATAAGCTCAATTTTGCCAAAATGTATCTTAATTTGAGCAACTTTTGACTGCCTTAAAACAAGAAGTGCCAATGGGACATGGCGAAATGATCTTGTTTTAAAAAGATACAAGAAATGTCTCCCTTGGAATGATAAAATAATGCTACGGTTCTTGAAGGAAAACTATATAGCTTTGTCCCATTGGCAAATTAAGAGAGTCAGAATGTACTCAAATTTAGATAAAAAACACTTGATTTTAGCACTTATAACCTCATATTTTGTCATTTTTTGCAGTGTAGTTTAGGTGTGTGTAGATCAATTGTCTTAACATAACCATTGGGGAGATTCTGTCACAAAGACATATAAATCTCGTCCCACATTGCAATTGGATGGATGTCATTATGGAACATTTAGTTGGGTTTTTCCAGAACTGCACAGCCTTTTGAAATAAGAACATTCTTTTGAAGGAAGATATAAAGTCTGTCAACCCAGACAAAAATACAATTATCTCCCAGGAAAAAAACACATCTCCTTTGTTCTACCCTACTCATGATCACATTTCTCTTTTTTACAGACCACAAAAGCATTCTTACCTCGGATGTTGGAGCTGCAGCACGGTCATGTGGTGTGCATAAACTCCATCTTGTCCCAGTCTCCGATCCCAGGGGCCATAGACTATTGCACGTCCAAGGCCTCCTCCCTGGCCTTCATGGAGAGTTTGACTCTGGGCCTGCTGGACTGCCCTGGGGTCGGCTGCACCACAGTACTGCCATTCCACACCAACACCGAGATGTTCCAGGGAATGAGAGTCAGGTGAGAGCACGGACTGTCACCAGAATAAACTCTTATCAGGGCAGTGTCACAAAGAGCTATTGGCAAAATATCTATGAAGCATGGAGAGATATAGACAAGCTAAATCCTATAGCTTCTTTACAACATTGTTCCCTCATCAAAAAATGATCTATACAGTCGTTCTCTAATTCCACCCAGGCTAATATCAGACACTTAAAACACACACACTGCAAAAAATGATAAAATATGAGGTAATAATTGCTTGAATCAAGTGGTTTTTATGTTAATTTGAGTACATTCTAACTGTCCTAAACAAGATTTATCAATGCGACAAAGCCATTTATTCTTATTTCTAAAACTGTTGCTTTTTTTTCTCTTTCCAAGGAAGACATTTCTTTTATTAAAAAAGTTAATTCCGATTGTTTCATTGGCAAATCCTGGTTTATGGTTGTCAAAATGTGGTCAAATTGAGACACATTTTACAAAATGTTGACTCATTTTTATCACTTTTTTGCAGTGCATGTAATTTGCCCTTCCTGTAAATGCTTCTGTCTCAGTCCTGCACTGCAAAAAGTGATGACAAATTAGTAAAACAGTATTTGCCAATGGGACAAATGGGATCAGAATGGGATCAGAATTGGTCTTACAGTACTCTTGAAGACTAAATGGCTTAGTCCCATCGGCAAATCTTGTTTTAAACTCCATCTTAGGGTTTTTCACACAATCTCAAACGTACCTGTACACCAGATTTGAACTCATGACATAATTGTAATATAATGTAAATCATTAATTTCTTGTACAGATTTCCTCAGCTTTTCCCACCTCTAAAACCTGAAGTAGTGGCACAGAAGACCGTAGATGCAGTCAGAGCGGACAAGGCCTTCCTCTACCTGCCCTGGACGATGCATGCACTTGTCGCTCTTAAAAGGTGCGTCTGGCTCCACGACCTGCACATTGCAATATTTGTGTTTTTCAAAGTCATTCATGTGTTGTTTCTTGTTTTTTTCCTAGTTTCATGCCTCAAATTGCACTCGAAGAAATTCACAAGTTCACCGGGAGCTACACCTGTATGAACACATTCAAAGGGCGAACATGAACTTTGATTTTACGGGGGAAAAGACTTTAAATAATGTATTTTTTATAAGAAAGGACATGGACCTTTTTTAACGGAACGACGGCCTGAGCTCTCAGACTTTTGTTTGTCAGAGCTGCCCTGCTTCTCAGAGAGCCGAGAGGGAGGAAGAAGAAGAGGAAGAGGAGCCTCTGTGAGAGCCTCCATACAAGTGTACAGACAGAGCAATTAGCTGGTGCTATTCTTTGAGGAGGATTTCAATAGATTCAGTTATTTGACCTTTCTTTTAGTCTGTTTTAAACCTATTTTTGTATGTTTTAAAGTTTCTTTGAAAGGGAGAATGATAATAAAACAATTTTACACATGTCTTTTGTTGGTTTGTATGAAAGAGTTCACCAATGTGGCTAATGAAGTGTCCATACCTGCAGGTGAAAGCAAAATCCCATAATACCTATACAGCTAAGCAGGGCAGGGCCAGGTTAGTACAGTAATGGGAGACCTCTGGGAACACTAGGTGCCACAGTGGGGCAGCTGTAAAGTGCCAAAACTGTTGTTGTGTCTCTAGGCAAGACACTTCACCAATGAGTCTGGTGTGTGTGTGAATGCTTGGTGGTAGTAAGATGGGCCGATGGCACATACTGATTGCCTTGCTTCTCTCAGTGTGCCCTAGGGCAGTTGTGGCTATGTAGTAGTTTATCACCTGCATGTATGCAATGAATAATAATAGGCAAGGCAAGTTTATTTATATAGCACAATTCATACACAAGGCAATTCAAAGTGCTGAACAAAACAAGAAAGCATTAAAATCATAAATTATCACAGAACATTAAAAAGAAAGATAAAAATATAAAATCCCTCAGTTGTATGCACAGTTAAACAGAACCGTCTTTAACCTGGTTTTAAACATTGTCAGAGAGGAGGCCTGTCTCACATCTTCAGGAAGACTGTTCCAGATTTTAGCAGCATTAATCTGAAAAGCAGCCTCCCCATGTTTAGTTCTGACTCTGGGCACTAACAGGAGTCCAGTCCCTGTGCTCCTCAGAGTCCAGGCTGGTTCATATGGGACTAACATGTCACTAATATATTTTGGTGCGAGGCTATGGAGAGACTTGTACACAAGCAGAGCTGTTTTAAAGTCTATTCTCTGAGCCACAGGAAGCCAGTGCAGAGACCTGAGGACTGGACTAATGTGGTCGTACTTCCTGGTTCTTGTCAGGACTCGAGCTGCTGCATTTTGAATGTACTGCAGCTGTTTTACAGCCTGTTTGGACAGACCTGTGAGCAGGCCATTGCAGTAGTCTAACCTACTGGAGACAAATGCATGGATAAGAATCTCCAAGTCTTATCTTTTTTATCTTATCTTTTTATTTATATACCGCCTTTTCACTGCAGATCTGAGTCTCAAAGCGGTTTACAATTGTTAATTATGGGCACTTGTCTCTCACTCCACACAGAGATGGGAGTGGGGTCGCCAGTACAGGAGGCACATGCCAGAACTATTGGACATATTTTTAGTGGTAGGGGAAACCGGAGCACCCGGAGGAAACCTACGCAGACACGGGGAGAACATGCAAACTCCACTCAGAAAGGCCCTGGTCCGACCGGGATTCGAACCCAGGACCTTCTTGCTGAGAGGCGAGAGTGCTATCCACTCAGCCACCGTGCCGCACAAGCAGCACAAAGTCTGCTTTAGACACTATGTTTTTGATCCTGGCAATGTTTTTTAGATGGTAAAAAGCTGCTGATGTTACTGATTTGATGTGGCTATTAAAATTTAAGTCTGAGTCCAGTATTACCCCTAGATTTCTGACCTTGTTTGAAGGTTTTAGGGAGAGAGACTGTAGGTGACAGATGACGCTCTCTCTTTGTTTCTGGGGACCAAAGACAATCATTTCAGTTTTGTCTGAGTTTAGCTGAAGGAAGTTGTTTTGCATCCACTCACTGATCTGTTGGATACAGTGAAGGAGTGAGTCCACTGGTCCATGTTCTCCTGCAGTCAGTGAGACATAGATCTGAGTGTCGTCTGCATAGTTATGATAGGAAACTTTGTTTCTGCGTATTAACTGACCTAACGGCAGCATGTAGAGATTGAACAGAAGAGGTCCCAGGATCGACCCCTGTGGGACTCCACAGGTCAGGGCCATATGATCTGAGACACAGTTTCCAATCTCCACAAAGTACTTCCTGTCTTCAAGGTAAGACCTAAACCAACTTAGGGCGGTGCCAGTGACGCCAACCCAGTCCTCTAGTCTCTGTAAGAGGATCTCATGGTCGACGGTGTCAAAGGCAGCACTTAGATCTAACAAGATTAAGATTGAGACTTTGCCTGCGTCAGTGTTCAGCCGGATATCGTTTGTAACCTTAACGAGAGCAGTCTCAGTGCTGTGGTGGGGTCTAAAGCCGGACTGAAACATATCAAATGAGTTGTTGATTATAAGAAATCTAGTAAGCTGTAGGTAGACAACTTTCTCAAGGACTTTCCCCATAAATGGCAGATTTGAGATGGGACGATAGTTGTTAACCCTTTAGGCGCCAGAGTTTTTTCAAGAAAATGTACAATTTTGATTTCAAGATTTCAAAAGGCTATAACTTTAAAATGGTTTGAGATAAAGGCATACTGTAAATTAGAAATATCTTCAGTCTGAACCAAACTTTGGGATGGAAGTTGATTCGTCATCTAATTTGCATATTCTGACGCCATCAAGGTGGCGGCCATTTTGGAAAATGTTAATTATTGTATAAAGACTTCAAAAAGCTGTAGCTTGGGAGTTATTTGAGATCAGGGAAAACTTTTAACAGTAAATGTGAAATATATCTTTAGTATGAAATGAATTTGGGATAGAAATAAATTCCCTGTTCCAGATTATACATAATGTTTTAGCACTGGTTCGCAGATATATGGAATTTTTTTATTTTCAAAGACCTTCAGTGATCAAGACTGCACTCTTTATAGTTTACAGTCATGAAATCTGGAGATTGGTTTCAATATTTCCCTTTCAAAGAAGTAGTGGGCATACTATTTTTCTCAGTGGAAATGAGGCTTCAGGATTTATCGTGTAGAAACAGAGAGATGAAATGAATGGGCACAGAACATGTCAGATCGTCTCAACAAGAAACAACAGGCTCTTCAACACTTCTGGTTCACTTTTGTGGATTATTTTCTCTCAAGAACTGCCTTCATCCTCATCATCGCTGTTGGTAAAGGCAGTGAACGCGATAAGCGATGTGCTTTTTCCCGCGGCTCCCCCGCAACTTCTCCCGCGTCTCCCCGCGGATGTCTACCCCGGCTACTTTCTTCCACATGCCCGGTGTTATGATGCCCCTGTCCCCTCCACCACGGCCCCTGCTTGGCGTTCACAGAGTGCTTCTACCGCGGCCACACGGAGGACAAGCAGCCGCTGCACAGGGGCTGATTGTGGACTATATGGCGCGGTCTCCCCGTCACTAATAATGTCTGTGTCTGCTTCACTGGACACCTGTGTGTCTTCCTCCTCTGAATCTGAGTGAGCCAGTACCAGACCAAGTACTTCTCTGGTACTGAAGACCTTGTGAATAAAATAAAAAACACTCTCTCCCTCTGCTTTGCTCTCGCTCCTCTGAGCTCTACCGCTGCTGCTTCACCTCCGCGCTGCTGCGTCGCAGGTATTTTACGAACTCAATTTACTCAAAAACTTTCAATATAACCACACCCACAAATGCTGCTCATATTACAGGCACACATGTCCACTAACCCCTGGTGAAAAGTATTAACAAGATTCTGCTCCACATTTTTACATACAGCCTGTTTAAGTGAGCAATGTTGCTTGTCGCAATATTGCGACTTTGGCGCTTAAAGGGTTAAGTACAGTGGCATCCAGACTGCTCTTTTTTAGCAGGGGCCTGATGACTGCAGTTTTCAGGGCCTTTGGGAATATTCCAGAATGAAGGGACATGTTTACTATCTGTGTGAGTGAAGGTAACAGACTGCTCAGAACAGACTTCAGAAATCTAGTGGGTAGTACATCCAGGCTGCATGTGGAGGAGCTCAAACTGGAGATTATCTCTTGGACAGTTTTATCATTTACAGGTGCAAAGTGAGTTAGCTCAGAGAGCCTTTCTGGCTGTTGGATGGTTATCTGTGGATTGGAGACAATGGCGCTTTTGATGCCTTGAACCTTGTCATTGAAAAAATTAGCAAACTCATTGCATTTACGTTTGGAAGTAAGCTCTAATGGCATTTGAACAGGGGGGTTTGTTAATCTATTAACTGTTGAGAACAGAACACGCAGATTGTTGCTGCAGCCTTCAATCATTTCAGAAAAATACCTTTCTCTCGTACTACGTAGCACCCGGTTAAACTCGCACAACTTATCTTTGAAGATCTCGTAATCTACCTGGAGGTTGGACTTGCGCCACTTCCGCTCGGCCCTCCGGCACTCTCTCTTTTGTGCCCTGACCGAGTCTGCTTTAGCCCACGGCGCCTTCTGCTTATTTTTCACTATTTTAACCTTCACAGGGGCAACGGTATCCAGAACATTCAAAACACTAGAGGTGACAGAGTTAAACAGTTCATCTACAGTAGAATACGATGCATTCTCAAAGTTTATCATTTCCATAAATAGTTCACTCGTATTTTCATTTATGCGCCTTCTTCGAACAGTTGCAGAGTCCACTGGTGGTTTGTTAGTGAAACACATGTCAAAAAAAACACAGAAATGATCCGAAAGAGCAACATCGACCACGTTTACATTTGAAATAATCACCCCCTTTGTAACTAACAGATCTAGAGTGTGCCCTCTGCTGTGGGTGGGGCCACTTACATGCTGAGTGAGATCAAAGGATTCAAGTACAGAACTCAGCTCATTTGCATTCCTGTCATCAACATTATCCACATGAATATTAAAATCATCTGTAATAACCAAACTATCAAAATCTGTGCATACAACTGAAAGCAACTCGGTAAAATGATCAATAAAACTGTGACATGACTGCGGTGGCTTGTATAGGACAACGAAGAGTATTGGAGGAGATTGTTTTTGTTGTAT